CAATTAGGCCCATGTGGCCGAATCTGGGAAAAACAACCTAGTTAAAAATTGGCTAATTTTGGTAAAAACCATGAGCTATAGCCCATACTTTTTTTTGTATAATTTTTTTGACCCCGCCATTTTCCAGTTTTTTTCGTATTCCATGACACCTAGAGATCACAAGAGTCCTCTGCAGGTTGATAAATGCCACTTAAAGCCTTGTTTTAAGCTTAAATAACGAAACCAGGTTAAAAATTGGCAAATTTTTGTAAATCTATGAGCTATAGCCAATATTTTTTAATTGAATTTATTTATAATATATATCTTAGAAATCTATTAACATATCGATCATTTGATAAGTATGTTGACAAAAAAAAACCAAAGAAAAATAGGCCTTTATAAATAAAACTCTTGGTTTATTTGTTTGGTAACCGTAAAGTAAGTCCTGATACCCTTTGAGACGTCACCTTCATATCAACATTAAACAAAAATACTCTTTGTTAAAATAATAATTTAAAAAATCAATATTTGTTTCAGTTCAAAAAAAGTTATCAATCGTGATATGGCAATCAGGTAATACGATTTTAATAATAATTTAATAATACGAAAAAAAAAACAAGAAAAAAAAAAAAAAAAACGAAACAAAACAAAACAAAACAAAAATTGACCGCTCATAGGCCTACCTGCGGTCTAAATCCGTCTATCTTACATCCGGGATTTCCAATGCTTCTATGGTATATGGCACCGGAATAATGATAGGCCTAACAAAAATAATATTAAACTGCATACCTATGAATGATGCGTTTGGATTACTAAGAAATGGTACCATAGTCGTTAATTATTAATACCTCCTCTCCCCATCCGTTTTCCTGGTTTAATTAGTTAATCGGTATATTAATCCCATCCCCAAAGGATACCCCAATTTCGGGAAATTTGGTACCGAGGGGGTTTCCTCATTAGAACTCAATTTATAGTATTAAAAATACCAAAGTATATTAATTAAACAGTGTTTTAATTTAGGAGACTTATAATTATTTTTTTAATTACAGTAATGCGTTTTTACCTATCGGTATTTTACCATTTTAATATTTTATTGAAGTTTTTTTTGATACATTTTTTTTCGTATATAGGCCTACTTTTATATACTTGCACGCGCAAGTGGAAAGGGTTTCCAATCTGTACTTATACGTTTTGATTCATAAGATGACCATTGTACGTGATATTCCAATTCAACCTCAGTCCTCAGTGTTCCTGTGGCCATTTTCACCTAATATCCTGAATAATTACCACCTGTGAGGCAGAGCGTGAATTTTGAAATTCCAGAGAACCGCGTGGGATGAATTGACGTGACGACCGAAATGGTGGACAAAGGTATATTTTAGCGATAGAAAACCCCACCATATTTTGTTTATGATTATAGGTCTAAAGTATATTCGTACGTATCAACAAAACTAAGGTAGGCTTAAGTATTAAAAGAACGTGTAACTAGCAATATTTTGTGATTTTAAGTTCCGTTAGCCAATAATACGAGTCAGTTTCCATGTAACGTGCATATCATTGTGCACACTGGGACGGACGCTAAGTTTGTTTTTTTTCGACAAGATTTTTAATGCGTTTTTAAGTATGTATTTTCATATAGTTGTAAGCTTAAAATTGACAAAACATGACTTGCGGCCATTTCATTAAATATTCTGGACGTACCACCTGTGTGGACCAAAAATGCCAAAAGAACCACGTGAACTCGGAATGGCAGATATAGTCGAATATGATGTATTCTTTACTACAGAAAACTCCATAATTTGCTGTAATTTAGTGTATTTCCGTGATGTATATATCCATAATCAAATATTTGTAACTTGAATGTAGGCCTATATTTCAAACGCCAAACAATATGAGTTGCTTGCTTTGTGGTGAGTGCAAGGTAAGTTCTAAATGAACTAGGACTAGACAATTTCGACAATAGTTGTGATTATAGAGCACTGCTTTTAATAATTTCTTTCCTAGGCTACAATAGATAGAATATTTATTATCTACTAATATCTGAGGGCCATACCAGTGGTGTAATTAGCAGGGGAGGATCCAGTAACGGGGCTGTTTTGCCACTATTATGTGTTTTACTACACCTACCTATTCTGAAACGTGATAATTGGAAGGGTGTGGGTGCTTGATGATTAGGTAACCAGGCGCTAGCTTGCAATATTAGGTGATTTCAGGTAGATCTTTAAGTATTTATGTGTGATTTTTTTTTGCGCCGAACATTTTTCAATAAGGGCCGGTGGGGGGGGGGGAGAAAGCGAGAGGCCGAATATATTTTTTGTGGGAGGCACATCCCCCATTATAGATATGCCGGCACTGGACCAGACTAAACCTCCAAGAATTTGAATGACACCTCTAGATGCCCGAAAATTCATTTCCTTTAATTCAACATACTTTTTGTTTCAAATCATGATTCTATAAGTTGTTTTACTTGTACTGATTTGTATTTCATAATGTTTAGTTAGTTATAGTTATTGCACTATTAGATATATTTGAGGCATGCCATCCCAAAACCAGCATAGTGCTGTTGTTTTATTCTGAGAAATTCACATAAGAATGTAGCAGAAAAATGCAGAGAATAATAATTCTTTTTTTTTGGCATTATTAAATTGATTCTAAGTAAATGACCCATTATTAAATAGCTTATAATGTGAGAATAAATTCTTTCTTGGTCAATGAATTTTGGGTTGGATGGGATGGTATGCCCCATTTATAGACAATTTTATATGTTCATGGCTTTAGTAATTTGCTTTAATAAGTTATTATTAACTGGACCTCAAGACCAATATTTTTACACTGAGTATTCAAAATAAATAAATTAAAATAATAAATAAAAGTCCATAAACCATAGGCCTACATTAACATTATATATATGCTTTCTTGTATCTGAATTTAATCAGTCTTCATATGCGAATAAAATAGATTATGCCTTTGAAAAAAAAAAAACTATTTTATTAAGTCCTGTTTTTTGTTTTTTTTTAATCTGTTCAGTTCAGTTTCCTATCCTCAGTCCTTAATTATTTCATCATGTCTTTCTGCTTGTCATATTGCCTCTGATTCTATTTTTATTTTTAGATGGTTTTCTTTGATTAGAATATATTACAGTATTAAAATAGGCTTTACTCTATAATAATGCATTGCAATACACTTAATTCCAGGCTTATTATTGTGTTAATAGTGTTTCTACAAAAACATGAACCGAGTAATTGTGAGTGTAGATAATTGCTAAATAAAAGAAATTTTCTCATGGAATTTTTTTTTCAATATTTATGGTTGAAATTTCGAGGTTGTAGCTTATATTAATACACTTTAATTTCCCCGTTTCATGTTTTTTTGGTTCCTATGCTGTAAAGTAGTAGGAACCTTTGAAATGATCTAGATGTTTGTCTGTACGTCTGCAACGCTGATGTTATAAAATTTGTTGTTGAAAGATTGTGAACAAGCAAACTTTAATTTCCAAACCCCTGCTGGTTATAATTTTTGCATACATGTAGTAATTTTCATGTAATATGATATTTCTTGAAAATTGTTGTAGGATAAAATAATAATAAAGCTTTACACAATTTATTACCCCTCCATCCAAAACTTGGAATAATCAATGATACATTAAATTATTAACTATTTTGATTTTAAAAAAAACCAGACACCATGTACCACAAATGCAATGACTATTGCTTTAGATTCGACATTAAAATGTCCCTAAAATTTCTACCTGTATTTTAAAAACATATATTTTGAGATCTAAAGAAAAGTCCTGGATCCGCCATGGGTAAGCGGTACAGAACATCAGGGAAACTGTAATGGGGGCAAGGGTTGGTGTGGGTCCCAGTTACATATGCGAAGCGCATGATAGATTGCAGCGAAGGCACGACAATTTTTTGAGGGGGCCCTGTCAATCTGGAGAGGCCATTATTAGAGGACCCATGACATTATTGAGGGCTCACAATAGTAATTAATGTTTTTGGAAAAAAATATGGAGAAAAAATGCAATCTGCAGTTTGTATGGGGGCCTTGGTAAGCTTGGGCCAATTAGCCTATAAATAATACAATATACAATTGTATATTGTATTATATATAGGCGAATTATATATTGTATTATATATAGGCTAATTGTTTATTTCCATTTGTTTCTGTACCGTATTTCCATTGTGGTCCAACACATTAGATACGGAACAACACTCAATAACACATTATTTGCGGCAATTCTGAAAGATGTTTTGACTAGATGGATAGAATTAGCAGATGCAGACAAGTTATGACATTTTGCTACGAGAACAGTTTACAGATGGATGTGGGCGTGAGTAGGCACTTTTTCTTTGGGAAAGTCAGCTGAGAACCTGAAATTCCGAAGCAGTACGTTGAAGCCTGTGGGAAAATGTTTGGTCAGCCTATAAGTTTTAGGAATCCAGTTTTAAAATCCGTACCAAATGCAACCACAAAACCAGTAAACCCTAGTGTGAGAGGTCCATTCCCACCTCAAATGGTAAGCAAACCCACTCATGTAACTTGTTAATTGTGTCATTGTCAATTTTTAACATTTTCTAATCCAATAATAATTGTTATAGGAGTCAAGAGTTGGACACGTTGCCAGAATCTGCAGGGAGTACAGACAAATGTGCCGGCTTATCTTATTCCAAGACATGTCGACCGAAATCTACTTTTCATGAAGAAGGTAGTAATGAAGATCCAAAAGTGGATAAATATAAACCAGACATAAGTGCTTGCATGGTTGAAAGGAAAGCAGCATCATCAGATGGCTACTGCTGCATAGATGAAGAGGGTAGTCAGGTAACGCCTACATGTGGGCATTTTCTTTCTATTATTAGCGCAGCTTGTACAATTTACTAAGAGAATGCCAGTTTCCACAGGTACTGTTGGCTCGCATCCAGCTTCTCTTCTCCATGACAGTGATGGCATGGTGTGGTGGTAAATAAAGGATTTGTTTTGTATTACCTGGACAACTGACTGGCAAGATGAAAAAAACCCATGTGTTTTAATAATTGTACTGTTAGGAACTCATAATGAATCATTATATATCTGAACTCCATAATACAATATAGAATTATAATTTGAATTTTCTGTAGTATTTAAAATGTATTTATTGTATTTGTTACCATTTTTATAGTTCTATTCTTATTTTTCTGGTATTTTAGTATTCTCATTTTGGGACCACGGTGGAAATAAGTTGCTTTTTGTACTTTCCTGTGTTTTTATCCTTAAATGTTTTCCCAGTCCATATCCTTTTAATGTTTTTATATAATTTAAATGCCTTTCGTATGTGTCTGTGTATATTTGTACATGCCAATGTGGAAAAGCAAATATATAATCTCTATTTATACCCTTGGATAAAGATTATTTATTCCAATAATTAAACTTTAGTAATTCTTGTCGCCATTTTCACCTAATATCCTGGACGCACCCATCTGTGTAGCAGATTTTGAATTCCAAAGACGGATATTGTGGACAAGCTGTATTTTAGCGCAAAAAAAAAGCCATTGTTTTATGATTATGGGGTATATTTGTGATGTATGCATCAACAAAACGAGGTAGGCCTAAGTATTGTATGTGTTAAAATAAAACAATTGCAATTTGTATTTTGTCAGTTTCTTCGTAGGTGTGCATGGCATGGTGGAAACCGACTCGGGCGGACGAATGCGGCTTGTTTCGAAAAGGATTTTTGATGTGATTAGGTAGGCCTGTGCATTTTATATACTTGTACACGCTGATGAAAATTAATTTGCAAAATCATGTTAGACTAATAAATACTTTTTACTGCACTTTTCAGTACTTGTATACTGTTTTTCAAAGTCGTACAGTTGCATAATTAAACAATATAATATACAATTACAATACAAGTGATTAAGAATTAGGAAAGTTTTTAAAAGATAAAATAGTCATGTACGTATATGTATACCGGTATACGTACGTTTAATGCGTATTCTTTTTTCCATGAATCGATAAACCCCAAAAATTAAAAAAAATGGTCTGGAGGTCTGAGATAATGCTTAACTGTAGTGGTGGACCTTCCCTATTTCTACCCCATAAAACAAAAAACAAAAATAAAGAAAGTCCATTGAATCTTCTGACTGACTGATATATATTCTTGTTTTTTTTTTGTTTTTTTTAGCAGATGAAGCAACAGAACATGACCCATGCGGGTAAGTCGTGAAAAGTGTACTGAAGTTTTGTTAGAACATTTGCTGAATAGTGCAATATTCCTGGTTAAGGAAGGTATAGGAGCATCCAGTCAATGTTAAAGTGTCAAAGTATATGGAATCATGCCTGTTTGACAAGGGTGCATATGGGGTAATACAAATCTGTTTGTCAGAATTATATTTGGTGTTTGGGAAAAAAATAAAACAATTGAAAAACATCACAGTAGGCCTGCTGCTACTTGGAAATTGGACTCTTGCAAGATTTCTTTTGCTTAAATCAGAGTCAACACAAAGCCACTATAGCGCAAGCTCAGTTGTTCAATTCCTACCCAAATGACTTTATTTGCAAGTATGGAACATGCTGAGCATGATGAACTAAAACAGCATTGAATGGCATTACAGTACTCACTGGTACATGGAAATGGGATTTACACACCAGATAACTAGCCTGGTGCTTAACCACTACAACACTGTGCTTGTGTTTTCCCAAGTCAGTATTTGTGAAAGTCACTAATACCCCTTTCAGACAGACCTGCAAAACGGTATTAATACCGTATTTCTCGAACGCCGGCGTTCTATGTTAAAGGGTAAATACGCCTAAAGCTGGCTTCAGTTAGACCTCCTCGGGACCTAGTCTTAATACCGCATTAATACTGTAGCGAGTTTTGCCCAACTCAATGTGAAAGGGTACAGGGTTCATCGCCGTCTTACGCACTGAGGCATAACAAATCAGGCGGTCACACGAGCAGCCATCAACCGTAGCCTGGGTTCCAGGCCCTAATTTTAGGTTACTCACTCTTTATTGCACTTAGTGCGCACCATACCTAATTTAATTGGCGTCCCATACTCGATTTCTTTTTTTCGAATTCTATCTATCTCTAAATTAACTTTCTCGTTGGTGGCGCTGTCCAGAATGAGAAAAATAATAACAAATAATAGACTTGTGGCAAGTCTACCATCAACCGCTGCTGCAGCTAACAAAGCCGATGAAATCGTAAGCTGACGGTTCTTTAGACACGAAAATCGCCTGCACCTAGCTGCTTGAAATTCAAGTCGGCCTTGCCTTAAACGCTTCCTAAATTCTTTTTTCACTTGAACAAAACGCATTAGAAACCTTGTTTTCTCAATTTATATGTATTGCAAACATAGCAAGCATTAAAAAACATTTGCAAAGCAGCAGTTTTATGACTTCATATCCGGCCATATATTGGATTAATGGAGTAAACAAAAACTTGCGACGGCAATAACGGCGGCATGATTAGGGTATTATCGCAGTATTTTCTGTCTGAAAGGGGCTTAAGAATACAAAAACAATATCTGTATTTTCTTTTTTTTTTGCAGACGACAGACAACGCTCTGCAAGATGACAAGTAACTTTTGATATACATCAAAGAATTAATAATACTGTAAGTATTAAGTGAAATATACTGAAGCTTCATTATTACCTTTAATTTTGTTTAATTCATGTTTGTGTCTAATTTTTTTTTTTTAGAATCTATTTTTGGTGGATACAGCAACACAATTGCAAGACAGGAAAAGTACTGCTGCAGAGGAAGACAAGGAAAAGAAACCTATTATAATTAATTTTGTCTAATATAGGCAATTTAATTTAGTTTTAATTTAGTTAATTTAATTTGTCATGCCTAATACAATACAGAAGTTTTGCTAACATCTTGCTGAATATTGTGATGCCATAATCCCGATGAAAGCGGTTGTATTATTTGTTGCGGTTGTATTATTTGTTGCAGCATCAAGACAACAATTGCTTAATTCTGAAAAAAAAATACCCGATTATATTGTACAGAAGATTACAAACAGACAAGAGAACCAGAAAACTACTATGATTACTAGCAGAGCATTTTAACTATCTATATAATGAATTGTTGATGCCTAATAATTTACTTTATGTAATTTTGGTTATGAAGATAATAAAAAATAAAAGTAGTGTGTTGACTTTTCTTTGCTGTTCAAGTTTGAAGACTGGTGGATGCAGGTAAGTTGTTGCAGCATCAAGACAACAATTGCTTCATTCTGGAAAACTGATTATATTGTACAGAAGATATGGACTCACGAATTACTAAGAGAACCAGAAAACTACTATAACTTGCATTTTAACTTTCCATATAATGAATTGTTGATGCCTAATAATTTTGGTTATGAAGATAATAAAAAAAAAATCAATTGTGTTTTGATGTTTCTTTGCTGTTCAAGTTTGAAGACTGATGGCTTGACTGATGGATGCAGGTAAGATGAAAAAAGCGCCCTCCAATAGAAAAAGGCTAACTTTTCCCATGTCCCTCAATTTCTATTGAAAGTGGTGCTGAAGGGCACCCTCCAATAGAAATCCAAAATTTCCAGGGTCTCTAAAATTATTTAAAGGGGTCCTGTGTGGTGCTGGAAACCGCCCTCTATAGCCATTTTAGTTCAGCGTTTTTGGGTGGTGTCTTCTTTGTCATTAATTTAATTAATAAAGGTTGTAGTGCCCTCTAATAGCCAGTTTTTATGCTATTCTGAAAAAATTGGATGTTAGAGGGCGCTTACTGCCATTGACGGTTAAGACACCCTAAAAAACTTTGGATTAAAAAGGCTATTTAGGGCGATTTTCTTCACTATTTTTACCAGAACCGGACAGACTATTGTGGCCAAATAACTTAGTCATATTTACGGCCTTTTTCTATTCGAGGGCGCTTTTTTTTTTTCCCATCCTGCTCATCCTGCTTTTTTAATGCTCGAGAAGAAAAAATACTCAATACTAAACTGAATACAATGAATATTTATTTATTCAAATTATTACCAATATGATACTAAATTACAATGAATATTTATTTATTCAAATTATTTCCAATAATTATTTACTAAATTACAAAGACTATTTGAAATATAAAGCTTCAATTGCCAAATCACCAGTAGCCACATTCTGAAAGAGTAAGAAATCACAGCAATTAGCTAGAGTGGAAAGGAAAAAATATTTAAAGTTATTTTTAACTGAAACATTTACACAACAATTTATAAGTCCAGTGAAAAGGGAAAAATATTTAAAGTTATTTTTGAATGAAACATTTATGCAACAATTTATAAGTCCAGTGGAAAGGGAAAATATTTAAAGTTATTTTCAATTGAAACATTTACGCAAATTAAGACAACAATTTGTAAGTCATTTTTAAGTCCAGTGTAAAGGGGAAACATTTAAGCAAATTTATACAACATTTTATAAGTCTAGTGGAAGGGAAAATATTTAAAGTTATTTTTAATGCAAATTTATACAACAATTTATAAGTCCAGTGGAAAGGGAAAATATTTATTTTTAATTGAAACATTTACGCAAATTTATACAATTTTTTAGGTCCAGTGGAAAGGGAAAACATTTAAAGTTATTTTTAATTGAAATATTTACAAAAATTTATACAACATTTTATAAGTCTAGTGGAAGGGAAAATATTTAAAGTTATTTTTAATTGAAACATTTACGCAAATTTATACAACAATTTATAGGTCCAGTGGAAAGGGAAAATATATAGTTATTTTTAATTGGAAACATTTACG